GTGATAAATAAAAATTTTATTTTGTAATGGTATGAATTTTCTTTTTATTAATTAATACCACTACCTATGTTAACTAATTTTTTGAGTCGTATGCATAAAAAAAGTATTCATTGTGATTAAGAATTTTGTACGTAAATATTCAATTCTATATGTATAAAGAGGAAAAATGAAGATGCATAAATTTTCCGGAAATATTTTTAATTCGTATGCATAATACTTGATATATACTAAGAATGAAGTATTACTAGAAAAATTTGATATTTCAAATATGTCACTCGCTAGTCTTAAAAACATCCAATAATGTACTGTCTAATACTAGGAAGAGATAATGCATAAGAAATGAGGAATATAGCATTTTCCATTATTTATATTTAAAAATACCTGTGAGCATTAATTTTTTTATGTACACGACCCATTCTCTTAAAGTACATATTTCATATTTTTTAATATTTTGACTGGCACGTTACCCGAATTCGAATAACGCCATTTTTTACATCAACTTATGAATATTCTTGGTTATCTATCGAACATATCGAACTTTGATGCACGTATGATATATAAAAAAAATAGTAGAGCAATGGCTATGAAGAACTTTGTGTTTTTAGTTCCTGCATTATTAAGAAAGCTGTGTCGACTGCATAGAAATTTCGACGAATGCTGATTTCGTAGTCAAAGCGTTAAAATAGATAGATTGCAATACTCTCTCCTGTGAAAAACTTTTGTGCCACTAAATCTCGCCTCTCTTAACTTCGTCGTTTCTTTTATCTAACATTTCTTGAAAGAATGCTTGTGGCACGGATTTTATCAGATATCAATATTCGTTTGCTTTTCGTTCTAAATGACTCAACATGAATCATGCTTCTCTCGCGTGGATTCTACGAATCAGCTATTAGAACATAGGCCGAGGAAATGTTCTTCGTTAATAATACCAGTACAAATGACATTGTATTGTTTATTAAGTTATTTACAAAACTTACAAATTTTTACCTTGCAAATACATAAAACAACATGGTAAAATTGTGAAATCTGAAGAAATACATATTTTCAAAATGATTACTTTATACAGTAATAGGAAGCTCAAAAATATAATAGTACATAATATTATAATAAATACAATATTATAATATAAATATATACTATTACCTCATAACCATTACTGCTTCGTAATGAAATTATTTTCTTGTATATGCACGTCTACGAATACAGTTTATTTAATTCGTAATACAATCAAACATATTGTAATTCTTTATTCACTATATCTACATCAAGATATTACAGATTTTCACAATTTACGCTATGTCAATTTTAATTATAATAGGACAAAATATCACATACAAAGTTTCTCTTGCACATTATTTTGTAACAGTTTAGTTACTGGTAACATATCCTGCAATCACATGTTTCAACAAATAATATTAATATCGGTTATAAACGTTCCTATATTTAACGCACAATGTACATAAACAGATAATAATGTGGTAATTATTATTCAACTTTGTATGGCTGCAGGTAGGTACATGACATAAATTAATAAGTAACATAAAATAATGAAATTAATGAACAAACTATTTAATAATATATGTCATGGAACTAGAACTTTTATCACAATCTGACAATCAAAGACTGTCTTATTATTATTTTTTTGATATATTAGTTTATTCACCGCAACTTCCAGAAAAGCTGCATCGTGTAAATACATCACAATTATTTATCGTGTCGGACATCTTATTTGAAATACCTCCAAAACTGTGCCAGTATAAAAAATATTTAAATTTCCACTTTGTCACGCTCAAACAGCTACTCGATAGAATTTTAATTGGCCGTCTCGGTCGAGAATCGTGCCACGATAATTAATATCCGTAATAAGTACGTTCAGTCTTCGATGTAATCATTAAAACGAAAGTATCGGGTAACGAAGGCGTATCAAAATTATCGGAGAATTATTTTCATCCGCCAAGGTGCTATACAACGTAGTTACATTGAGATCACAGATAATATTTCATGAAAACTGTCTCATCGGTGGGTACTCTAATTTACATGTGCCACATGCAAATGTGAATGTATTTATTATACAAAATAGAATGAAAATGACGAAATATAAATAACTGTATGATACAATCGGTTGATAGTAAAAATAATATAAATCACATAAAAATGAGACAAATTTTAAGGTATTAACAGTTTTCGGTTTACCTTAAAAAAGAAAACAATTATTAGTCCCAAAGTATAAAAGAGTCACAATCTCCTCAGAATTCACACAACAGAATTTTTTAAATGTTGTAATATAAAAATATTAATTGAGTAAAACAATCACAGTAAACGTAACTTCAAAAGTTGAAAATATAAATAATATAAATTATATAATAATAGAGGAAACATTGAGTATTTAAATTTTTTAAATATCGTTCAAAGTATTAAAAATATTATTTAAAATACTGAATGTTTAAATATTTAAAAAATTACAATATTTAAAATATTCCATACCATTTAAATATTTGCACTGTGCGAATTACTAAATTCTTTTTCAAATAAAAATATAAAAACTGTTTAATATTCGGAGGAGTTTGATATCTCTCGGAATTCAGACGAAATTAGTTAATTAAAGGTCACAGTATACCACAAACGTCTTCTGACTGATATTTGTTTTGAAGCATACGGATGAAAATATTGAAAATGCCTTCGAAGTATGCTAGCATTGTACGATCTCGTTTTGCAATACGGACATTGCAATTGTTGTTTCGCATGGCGGACCTGATGCATGTGACTTGCCATTTGATTATAGAATTGTTTGTAGCAATATATACATGTGTACACTTTCGGCACAGCAAACACATCCTTCACTTCTTCCTGGCCGTTTGCCGCGTGAACCGGTTGTTCCTTTACCTTTTCCTGAACACTACTAGTGTGTGCCGGTTGTGTATTGTCATCCGATTGAACCTCGTTGAGAAAACTCAGATACGTCTCCTCGAGACTATTATCTTCGAGATGTGACAACGCGGAAATGTCGTCGAATAACGCCAACAGCTGCAATATTTGAGAAGTTTAACACACGTGTATGTAATTAATGATCGTTTCGTTTTATCCTAATTAACTGAACAGTGATATTTGACATTTGTATTTGGAGTCACATGTTTTAAATCTCAACAACTCATTTAAGATCAGAAACAATTTTCGAAAGCTTAATGGCGAACAAGTGTATTAACAAAATATATTGTTCTACTTTCAAAATTTTGAAGTGCACAAAAATAATTTACTTCTTAGAGCGATTGTCAGATAAAAATATTTGAAAATTTTTGTTCCTTAAATCAATATCAACTTAACTCCTTGCCCTATGGTTTATTTCTCAACTATAATCTATACAACTACTTTATTATTAATAATTCATTGAAAATAATAAAAGATTCTAATCTATGTTTGGTATAAAGTATAATCATTGATAACAAAAGAATAATATTTAATTTGAGTATACAAGAATTCGAAAATATTTATGTTTGTTAAATTCTGTTTAAAATCTTTACCACGAGTATGACAAGTTATTGTAAGGCAAAGGATTAAGGAAATTTATAAATAACACTTATTTAAACATCCTCAAACATTCGTAAACTTGGGAGACTGTTATTTAAAACTATTTTAACATTCATATTGTCAAATGATTGACAAGTTAGTTTATGAACACAGACTTCTTGTCCCTTTGAAATATGAAGTAATTTAGACTGTTTTTTTTTAAATAAAATAAAAATTCTGATAACCCTTAAAAGCCTATATTCATAGACATCTACGTAAAACTAAAATATTGATAGACACGTGCTGACAAGTTACTTTATGAACACTTTGACTCATTATCACTTTGAAATATGAAGTAATTCAGACTGTTATTTTGAAAATAAGATTAAAATTTTGATAACCCTTTAAAGCATATATGTATAGATGTCTACATAAAGTGAAAATATTGATAGATCCCTACATAAAGATAAAATATTGACACATGTCTACATAAAGCTAAAATACTAATATATATATATTATACTACATAATACTAAAACATAATATTAATACATACCTCATAGTCTGTACTGGAATTAAATTCATTTTCACCACTTGCCATATCTATATAAACTGAGTATAGATATCAAAAAGTTAAAATTGAAATACTTAGAAGAACTCTGCGATGAGGGAACTTAAAATTCGACACTCGTCACGAATATGTTTCTCTATACGGACAATCGCAAAATGACGCGTCCTAACAAGGGTCTCATTGCTGTTTACGTCTTTCGACTTGACTACCCTTGTCTATGGTGGGGGTATCTCATTATACCTGCCAAACTGAAAGAAAGGCAAATCGGGGCTGTCTTTTCCATTTTTCAGGGTTACTGGGTATAGGTGGCACTGCGTATATTTAAATTACCTACGGCTGAACGAAAATTTTCACAAACTATCCCAACTTATTCATTTTGTAATTTGTACTTTAGATTTCATGGTGATTAACCCGTTTATCCAACGATCCAATCAAATGCATTGATAATCACCATAGGATATTTATGCAAATTCATATTATAGGTTAATTTGAAATTTTATTACAGTTTATTAAATTTTTTACTCTATGGTTATAATTAATAATAATGTATTTTCGTAATTCAATATTTTAAAGACACTAATTATTCTCAGAACTTTAAATATGCTACATGCTTAATGCTTAAAATATCGCCCACAATTTAACGATGCAATATCGCTATAATTATATCTCGTTAACTTAAAGGAAGTATGAAAGAGTAAAGGATCAATTGACAAATTAAATGAATTTAAACAAGGTTAATACATTTCAATTTATTAAAAAAAAAGGAAATCTTTGAAATTCTTTTTCTCTTTCATTGTTAAGAAACCAGTGTTTATCTCTGGATATCTATATCTCAATACATTTCGAAATCTGGTATTTCCCGAAGTAACGCTCGGTACTGATTTCAAATTAAGAAAATACGCGACACGCGCATTTATCTGAACCGAGCCACATGTTGCAAAATAAACGGATAATCAAGCAAAAGGAAGGAGACCCAACGGCGACGATCATTTCTTCTTGACGCGTACATCTGCATGTTATGCTCATATATTTGCCAATATTTTAAATCGCGCCGCGCATCCTATTACGGTGTTGACAGATTTGCACCACGCCGCCGACACGATCTTCCTGCAGCAAAGGATCATCGATTCCAATGAAAAAAGAAAAAATCATTAAAACACCGGCAATCAACTTTTCTTCTCACTCCTTCGTCTTTTACCAACATTCTGACGCGAGGGCGCAGCACGTGTGATTAACGAGGATATTCTTGAAAATCGACGTACCGGAATTCTGCGTCGTACACACAGAATCATGATCAAAAATTTCAACGAAACATACTTTTGTTCGAATTTCCATGGAACATTGTTATTATAATTCACTTGTGAGTTAATACTAGTCCTACCGTCCAGTTTTCGTATTTTGCAATTATTGATACCGCAAAAGTGTTAAACATCCGAAACGATTTTCATAATAAATAGATTCCCCTGAATGCTATAATAAATATATGAAGAAATTATTATTTCTTAGGTTATATATATATAATATATATATAAATAATATATATAAATAATATATATAAATAATATATATAAATAATATATATATATATTATTATAATAAAGAAAGCTTAATAATTTGTTAGAATTTACGATACTCTATGCGGACCACCGTTGTTTCCTAATTGAAGGTCATGCTAGTCAGACCTTTAGGGTAGGTCTGGGTTAGTGTTTATTTGATATTATAACATTATTAATATTTTATTATTATCATTATCATTTTCATTATTATTACCCTTATTATTATTATTTTATTTTTTTTAAACAAAGGTAATATATATAATACGTCAATACAGAATTTACGTGTGAATTAGCAGGTATGGAACTTCTATTGTAAAATTCGATTTATTTGTAGCGATAAAATAATACCAACGCACAGTAAGGAAATGTTAATAATTAGAGGAGATAAAAGAGCGAGTAAATACATTTTAACCCGGTGGCCGCTTGGCACTTCAATAAATAATCCGCCTTTCGAATATTAAAGATTGGTCTCGCCATGACAAAAATGACGGGTCGGTTTGCAACTCGTGTAATTCTCTTTGGTTCATTTTGCGGCGACCAGAGGCGTATCCACCTGTAATGAGCCTGAACATGCAGACCCTCTCTTTACGTCTCCAAAATGGAGACCATCACTAATGAACATTAAATTATATAACCTAATGTAATAATCGAGAAAAATTAATCAAATTTTGTTCTAGGTGTGAAACAAAAGAAATTCCATTTTCTAAAGAACATAATTCTTGAACAGTGTATTCTATTTACTTTCATTGCTTTTGTATAAAATGATCTGAACAAAATTCAGAAAACGTATATAATCAATTTTGTTTCTCTGCTATAGATACTTTGTGTGTGTACAAATTTGTGTAAAAACAATATATCCTGCTTATAGAAAAATAGAAATTGATACCAAGAAATCTATAAAGTAATACAGTAGACCATATAAAAATTCACATTAGCATTTATACGATTTAAAATCAAACCAAATATCGTGAAAAAAGAAAATAAATTTTCTCTACTTCGTTTTAAACTGCACGAGCCTCGAAGAAAAATAATTCTTACATCAAAACCGTACAAAGACAGAATTAGGTCTCATTATTCAAAAACGTTGCGAAGAAGCACGCAAAATCAGTTTACGCACAATTTGTCATGCGTTACGCCAAATGTTACTCATCGAGTAACATGCGCGACACTTCAAAGGAGCGATCGTTCCGTTCTTTAATTTCCCGCAATGAATATATTCTTCCAGAAAGCGAGCCGCACAATAGTTAATTAAGACCGCCAGTTAATTAACTCGAACAGCGAATATCTGCAGTTTTGAAAGTTGTACCCGTCTCTCGCAGTATTTTAAAATTGGCTAGAAGTCTCAATAAATTTCCCGTGTTATCTGGTATCTCTAATTCGAACCGAACGCAGCTGAATTAATTACACGGGTTGTGCAACAGGCCGAGCAAAACGAAGCGCACGCGTGCAAGCAATAAATAAGATGACGCGGTTCATGAGCTCGCGTAGTTTAGAGACCGTGCGGAAACCGGTGATTTGAGAGCCACTGGAGACGCGGCTCGAATAAGATACACCGCGATGAACGGTCCATTTGTAAGCGGAATGTTATTACGATGGAAACGGTATACTGGCATTAAGTAGTGATATACAATTATTGGTACGCATCGATAATTATTGATTTGATGGAAACCAGCTACCCACGTAGCTCTCTAGATACACCGGCGCGATGAAAATACGAGCGATCCGTGCACCCCATAGACACCGGCCGGCGGAACACGATCCACGTGGGTGGATCCTCGGTCACTGGACGGTAATACATACTGTGTAACCATCAAAATGTAATTATGTTATAGATACAGATAACCAAACGCCGGACGAAATACCCGTTAATGAACAATTGCGATACTTTCTTTTCTATTCTAGATTTTGTTATTTCGTTTTGCATCTACCCACGCGTCGGAAGAGATTAAAGAGTCTTGTTAAACCTCTGGATGCAAAAAGTGAAATCCTTTTTGGCTTCTTTGAGAAAGTAACTATGCATTTGAACGTTATTTAAGATTGGTTTTATATTATGCACCGCACCCTTGTTGGATATTTTGACGGTTCCTGCTTTTTTTAAGGTTATTCGTTTAGAGTTCACGCGTTAGAAGGGATTGAAGAGTTGTTGGTAGAATTTGATGATACAAAAAGTTGAATTCTTTATTTGAAAATAAGCGGAGATTATTTGATAATAGATGGGAATGTTTTTGTATTGTAAACTGCGAGTAATAACAATTCATAAATGGTATTCCTTTATCAAAAAAACAGTACTTATTACTTGATTCTTTAATGATAGGTTAGAGGAAACGAAGCAATCTTCCATAGGTGTCGCCTGCGATATGAATGCGATTATAAATTATTTTTAATTAATATATTATTTTATTAGAAAATATTCTATTGACATTGGTATTCCGACAACAGAACCATTTATTCCAAAAACTCCTGGGTTGCGTCGCATCCTCTTTTCCGTAATAAAATATTTCTTACAAACATTCAAAACTATAAAAAACTAAAATCAGTTAAAATGATCTTTTCAAATCTTCAGGATCAATTCCTGTTCGTCCTGTAAGCAAGTTCCATTTAATAACATCTGAATTTCTTTTTCTGAAAGGTTGCGCAAATTTGTTAAACTTTGATTATTCACACGCCTGTTTCCATATACATTTACCGCGAATATTGCTGCACCATTTGTGTATCTTCTTATAATTACAATCCTCCTGCGTTACGCGAACGAACGTTCCCGTTCGACGCCTACATACTTGCATTCATTCGTGGAAAAATGGAACTTCATTGGAACAGAGCGGCGGCAAGTTCATTTCTGTCGTCGTGTTAACAGCAAACGAGCTTTCATTTTTCCGCGTGGAAAATAGGATCGGAACCGTAGATTCGTGGCCGCCGTCTATTCAACATTATATTGCTTCCGTTTCAGTGACTTTAATGGGACGCGTACTTGCTATTGTACAATGGATACAGAATGTATACATTAACCGATACAAGCCAGTTTAAATATTCCTTGTGGAGACCGCTTAAGTCGGTTGCGGTGAAGGTAACTGATCCCTACCATACGAATATAATTTGCATATCAGATCATCGATCGGAGTAAATCATTGCAGGTCGACAACCCGGTAGACCTGCCGGAAGGGAAGCTGACATCCCTCCTTAATATTGATTCCTGATTGTTCTCTCTTTAATAACGCCATTTGTTTTGTATTGTGTGGACTAAAATTGTCTAATTAACTTTCAAGTATGGACGTGAATTTAATCTAAAGTTGTTTTCTAACATTAATCATTTTTCGTTAATTGATTTCTTGACTTTTCGATTAATACAGTTGACAAATATTAATAAATATAATAAAATCAATTCTCAATAATACTAGAAAATGGAAAGAAATTAAAAATAGTTAAATATTTTTTCTGCGGACTGGTACTGCAAGAAATGGGGAAAAATGTTGACTTCATTACGACATAATAAAAGTAATAATTTCGAAGGCTGATTGAAAGCGGAAATTTTGTATAACAAAATATGAAGCTGTAAGTTTACTTTAATAATAGTATTGCCATTGAACCGTATTTCTTTTGTAATAAATAAATAGTTGATTTTCAGTTATCTGATTGACACGCA